CAAAACCAATTGAAAAAAAAAGGGATTCTATTGCGCTAACTGTTATAACGACCAACGTATGAGTTGTTGCAGAAGACTAGGTGTAGTGACCATTTCGTGGTCGCTGGGGGTATCCTTCACCCATCACTATTGCTCGCTATAAAATGCCAAAACCAATTGAAAAAAAAGAGAGATTCTATTGCGCTAACTGTTATAGTGATCAAAGCATATGTGGTTGCAGAAGACTATGTTCAGCAACCATTCCATAGTTGTCGAGGTGGTTCTCCTATGCGGAAAATTTTTGGCTCTTTTTCCTGCACTATCTTTACCGACCAATCAAATGTATGGTCCCTGATTCGCTGAATTTGTGACCAAGGAGTGGTCCCAATAGAGCATAACAAAATTAGTTTAGTTTTATCGAAGCAAAATCTCTACCAACCAATAGTTGGTCACTGATTGTGTCTTACAGCAATCAAAATCTATTGGTCACTAAACATTTGGTCGGTGTAGCCCATCTTTTTTGTAGTGACTAATACTTTTCTTATCGAACATTGATGCAAACATTGAAACATAACTTTTTACACAAAATAGAAATTGAATTGAAGAAAATCGAAAAATCAGAATAATAATTTTATTGTATAAAAATGCTCAATGAAATATTCAATTCCTTTACTAAGTATTATAAAAAGTATATATGTGATTTTAAATCTGAGAATTGTTCCTTGAACATAACACGACCTACTTTATAATAATTTTTGTAATGCATGATTTAATTAATAATTTTTGTTTCATGCAATTGTACCACACATCATGGACCCATTCTCACATCAATAAAGTTATTTGTAAAAAGTTGAGTTACAAAAGTTGGATTACAAAGTGTGTTGGCAAAATTCAGATGGTCGATTTCAAATTATTTAAAAATTTTTTTTTAAAATGATTGGTGTAAATGTTATTTTGTCAACCAACTTTGTACATATAGCATAACTCTTCTCACATTTTTTTGTTTCACTCAGAAAGTACTATTCTGATATGCTATCAAATTACCCTTTGACCATAAAATAGGCATATATGACAATTTCGATATGGGTCACCCAACTTTATACTTTGTGTCATCGTGGCCACCCAATTTAATTTTATTTCACTAAGATCATTCAATTTTATGCAACATTTCACTATAGCCACCCAAGTTCATATATCATTTCACAATGACCACTCAACTTCTTTTTACTATTTTCATTAATTTTAAAATGAGTAAAACGGTAACTTTGCATTATATATATAAAATATTTTTTTTTAAATTGAAATAAAAGCTTATTTTATTTTATTTTTCTAAGTAACTTTTTTTTAAAACAAGCTTTTTATTTTATTTTTAAAACGTTTTTTTTAAATAAGTTTTTACTTTATTTTATTTTTCTAAGTAATTTTTTTTTATAAAAATAAGTTTTTATTTTATTTTATTGTTTTATGTAACTTTTTTTAATAAGTTTTTAGTTTTGTTTTTTTTAAATAAGTTTTTTTTTAATTTTTTTAAAAATTTATTTTATATATATAATGCAAAATTACTGTTTTACCTATTTTTAAATTAATGAAAATGGTAAAAAGATGTTGAGTGACCATGATAAAATGTTATATGGAATTGAGTGGTCATAGTGAAACGTTATATGAATTAAATGACCTTGGGGAAATAAAATCAAATTGGGTGGCCAGATAACGAAAGTATAAAGTTGATTGGTCATACTGAAACAAAGTCAAATTAGTTGGCCATGGTAACACCAAGTATAAAGTTGGGTGGCCATCGGTGAATTTAACCCATTTTTAGAGGGTGTTTGAAACCCATTTTTTGGAGAATGAAAATTTTGAAATAGTGATTGATGAGAGATTATGTGGTGGAAAAGTTATGAAAAGTTTTAGATTTGTGTGTAGTATTATTTTATTGGAAGAATATGTGGTTGAAATGAAGAGAGAGAAAAAAATGAGAATGAGAATTAGATAAAAATGGGTGTCAAACAGGGCCTAAATATCGAACGTACTTCTTGAGCACCTATAACGAAGACATTTAAATTAATGAAAATGGTAAAAAGATTTTGAGTGGCCATGATAAAATGTTTTATGGAATTGAGTGGTCATAGTGAAACGTTATATGAATTAAATGACTTTGTTGAAATAAAATCAAATTGGGTGACCAGATAACGAAAGTATAAAGTTGATTGGTCATACTGAAACAAAATCAAATTAGTTGGCCATGGTGACACCAAATATAAAGTTGGGTGGCCATCGGTGAATTTAACCCATTTTAATACACGTTGTTTTTTAATAACATGCTTTTTGTTTAGTCGCAAACATTTTCAGTGGATAAATTTTATGAAAAATAATATTTTTTTAAATATATGTGGTTAAAAGTATTAAAAAATATATGAATTTGCGTATAAAATTATTTTATTAGGAGAATGTGTAATTTAAAATAAATTTGAAGAAACAAAATGAATTAGGAAGATGTGAACCATGTTTTATAGCAATATGGTTAAGAAATAGAAGAAAATGCAACGATAATTTTCAATTTAAATCTATTTTGTACTCGATCTTAACATAACATAATGTGAGAGAGAGAGAGAGAGAGAGAGAGAGAGAGAGAGAGAGAGTGCTGTCGAGTGAAAGGTTTGTTTCTTTCCTGGAGTCAACAATTCTATCTTTATTTTATTTTTAAAATCCAGTTTATAACTTTATTGATGAATTGCAATTAAATCAAAATATTTGAACAAGTTAAAAAATCCAATTTCTCACATTAAGCAATATGCTGAAGAAAAGACGGCACACAAAATTTGTTAGAATTTTAGGTAATATTAGGATTAAAATATGTTAATTAGAAAAGTTTTCAATATGTGCGTTGATTGGGCACGACTCTTCAAATGTAAATAGTGCATATCAAATAGTTATTTTGAATGGATGTGACCTTTTGATTAGGTGCAATATAGACCATCAATTTTAAAATGGTGTGATCCGATTATTGGAATTAATTTGACCATAAAATGTGATCCTTCAAATCTATCAATAGTGCTTATTTCATTTTCTTCACTCTAAATCAATTTGAAATAACTTATTTCTAATTATTCATTTCTGCAAATTCTGTCAAAATAATTTCATATTATTTTCAAATTTTGAGTTCGATATTAGTTTTCGGTATCTTCCGTTCTAGAAGAATACGGTCCCTAATATTGTGCTATATTAATTTTTGAAGAAGCGCTGTATCTTAGGAGACCTACGTTAATCCGATCATTTTAGCACCAGTGCAAGGGAAATCCTCGAGAAGATTTGCATTTGCATACCTTCATTTTATCTTCTTCGCATTTCTACATTTTCTACGTTTGAGTAAATCATGATTTGCTCAATATTATGCATGCAACATGATTTCGGTAAGTCATAACTCTATCCTATTTGCATGCTCGTATTTTTTATTAGCGGAATATAAAATATGCACTAATTTATCCAACAATCTTAAGACAGATTTCCATGGTACATTTTATGGTTTTATCATCTGAATAAAATCGGGAATACCGATGGATCAAGTGTCTGACTATAGTCAGAGGTATTTGTAAGGAATATTTCCCTGAAGCCACCATAGATATAGATAGATCAAGACTATAAAATGGGAAATAAAAATGAAGAATTATACTCCATGTTTGTTGGCATAATGAAAATGAAAATGTATAGTTTTTCATGAGTATACGTCTGTGATGAAATCTAAATGGCCCAATTAAAGTTGGATCGACCATAGGACTGCAATTTCTTTAAAATGAGAAAAAGTGATTTTCATTTTTATTTGTGATTTGACTATCTCAA